TAATCAGACGATCGCATTTTATGATGACATTGCGTTCATCATAATCCACTTGAGAGTTGCCAATCAATCTCGTAAGTGATCTCTGAGTTACACGAGTTCGATATGTTAGCTGAAAGCATCCGCCGTTGTTATCTCTGGATAGGATGGTCATTGACCAAAACCGTGAGGGCCTGTGCAAAGGGCTAAGATGGCCGCTTCTTTCCGTTTTACCGAGGCCTCGTCGCAATGGCTAAGTTCGTCCTTCCTTCAGTCGTATCTAGCGAGGTACTTTCAATCGCCTCTGAGCAGGGCTGCAATGCCTCCTCTGATATTACGGAGACGTCCTCGTTGTTTCTATCTCAGACTTAATAGTCTGGCGGATTTCAATCGCGTAGCAATTATACGTATATCCGACGCCGAAGTAATGATAAAAGAACGCGACTGTACGCCTCGCTAGCCGAAAGACGAATACCTTCCCGGCGGGCTTCACGTTCATCCCGACACGTTCACGCTTGCGCAGTATCGTCGGTCCGTGCCTTTTTCCGGCGCTGGGGCGCAACGTGGTCGTCGCAGCGCTCGCGAAACACTTAACGCTAAAGATAACTAGGGAACTGTAACACCGATGCCATCTATAAGCATTCTACCGAATCGCCACTTATAAATCCACTATGTTCACAGATGTCTACACCTACACAATCTCTTCACGCTTTTTATTGCCCGTTTTTAACATTTCGCCCGTCTTTGTTTATCGTAGATAACGAATCAACTATGCAGTTTCTGTATCAATTGGAAGAGGACAAAGTTTAGTGATAGGTCTTTGTAATTCAGAAATTTGCGTACGTACCGTAACAACTCTAGTATGACCTTCTTGACCAGGATGAGTCTTAACAACCCGACCTAAAGGCCACTTCACTGGAGGATACCTCTCATCAACTACTAAAACCAAAGAACCTTCTTTTATAGATGGAACAGCATTGTTCCACTTGTATACCGCAAGATATCTTTGCAGACAGTCACGTGACCATTGTTTCCAAAAGTCTTCTAGCATTTTTCTTAGGAGTTGCCACCGAGAAAGGTGAGAGACCTTAACGCCGTCTAACGATGGTTCGGGAATAGTAGTCAGAGCCTGCCCTATAAGAAAATGACCCGGGGTCAGAGCAGAAATATTGGTTGGATCCTCAGACTGCGGACAAAGGGGTCGAGAATTCAACACAGCTTCTATCTGAATTAGCAAAGTATTCATCTCTTCGTACGTAAGCTGTTGATCACCGACTACCTTGTTCAAATGCGTTTTAACCGATTTAACGCCAGCCTCCCATTTTCCTCCGAAATGAGGAGCCGCAAATGGATTAAACTTCCACTGAGTTCCGTCCTTAGCGAGAAGCTTAGCTAATTCTTCTGACTCCTTGGAGCTGGCTAGAAAGAGCTTACGAAGTTTGGGCATCTGCTCCTTTAAAATTAGTACCGCAATCACTAGATAACGTTGAACAAGTTCCTCGACGAGAGGTGAAACGTTTGTACGCCGCTAAGAAAGCCTCAGTTGTGTAGTCCGTAACCAATTCTAAGTGTATAGCCGAAGTCGAGTAACAAACGAACAAAGCTATGTAAGTCTTGTAGGTCTTTGCATTCCTACCTTTCCAAGTTTTCGTGGTAAACGGACCTGCATAGTCCACTCCCGAATGCTCGAAAGATCGAGACGGGTTTATCCTTTCAGTAGGTAACTGACCCATGATTTGATGTGCTCTTTCCTGGCGAAACCGAGTACAGACTACACATTTGAGTATAAATGATCAAACTACGACTCGACCTCCAATTATCCAATAATTGTTCCTAATAAAGGAAAAAGTATCCTGAACTCCTCCATGGAATGTACGAGCATGAGCGTCAACAATAACCAAAGAAAGAAAGCTTTTTTAAAGGCGCAACCTTTGTTTTAGAAGCTATAAAGCAGACTGTGACTTTACCTTCGCTCGAGATTACCCTGGCAAAAACAACTGTAGCCATGGCCTGTTGCGAGGCATCGCAGTATCCGTGTATTTCAATAAGTGAACTAGCTGTCCAACCTATTCATCGTGGAAATTCGAATTTCGGCGTATTGTGTAAACTATTTACAAAGTCTGTCCATTTTTTGATTAGTTTTTCCGGCAATGGGTCATCCCAATCTAACTTAATTGACCATAACTCTTGCACAAATATCTTGCCGACAATAATAACAGGCGACAAAAAAACCCATTGAATCCCATTGAAAAATTTAGCAATCGTAGACATAACAGTCCGTTTTGTGATAGTTGTCAATGTAGGGAGCTCGAATGTAAATTCAAACGAATCCGTTAAAGCGTTCCAAGACAACTCCAGTACGTGAACAGTCTCACCTTCATTAAATGAAATCGAATGAGATGTAATCTTTCTATCGGGTGGTATGTTTTCCAAAACATCAGGGTGATTGCTCATCCATTTCTTCAACAAGAAACCGCCCGCCATGCAGAGCTTGTCCAAATGAGCAACTTTATTTTGAGTTTCCTGAATAGAATCCGCTCCGCCATGAAATTCGTCTACGTATCTACCTTTCTCCATGATTGGAATAGCTAAAGGATATCGATGTCCTTCATCCTTTATCAACTGTACGAGAGCACGTATGGCTAAGAAGGGTGAGCAAACCTGACCATAAGTAACAGTTGTGAGCGCAAAAGTTGTGATTTGTGACAATGAATCTAACCAAAAAATCCTCTGATAGTCCCAATCCGACGGGTCTACCTTCATTTGTCTAAACATTTTTTCGATTATGTTTTCAGCTATGAAAACATAAAGAAAGAGGCGGAACCAGAGGAGTACGTCGAACAAATCAATTTGCAATTTAGCACCTGTGTGCAATAAATCGTTGAGTGACACGCCCGTAGTTGTTGGACTCGACCCGTTAAACACAACTCTCAACTTAGTGGTCAGACTCTGTTCTCGTAATACGTCATGGTGAGGGAGATAGTACACCAAAGAGGGCTCCGATTCTGATGAAGGCACTATCTGCATGTGACCTAAGTTTCTGTGCTCTACCATAAAATCCGAGTAAAGATTAAAATAATTAGAATTTGTCTTAAATCTGCCAGACAAACTTCTGATTATTCGCAAAGTCTTATTTTTTGAGTTGCCAAGTTTAGACGGATTTGATTTGAAAGGAAGTCTAATAATATATCTCCCAGTTTCGTCTCTCTTATGCGTAGAAAGGAAGTGATCCTCGCAATCCTGTTCTTCTTTAGAAAGTATTGGAATTTTCGACGAAGGAACTTCCTCTAATTCCCAGAATTTATAAACTAAATTGTAAAGTTCTTGGCTAATCGACACGTGATAGCTTTGTCTATTAACTAAGAAAGTTTCAAGCGTAGTTGGTCCCGAAATTACCCAGCCTAACTTGGTAGCTTGCGCTACTGGCGTTCCAACATCACCTTTTATTAGTTTACTTTCGAGTAAAGCAATCGAGAGAATGTTTAGGCTTATATAAATTTTGTGCGAGATTCTACAACTACAATATAATGCACTTTCTTTCTATTAATTGACACAGTAACTTCCGCAGTAAATCAAGTTATATAAGTATTATGTACGTGAGCAGGTAGTAAGTCTACACAATGTATAAAATAACTCGTCTTTATTGCGTGCGAGGCAGCGGTCATGCGACCGAGTCGGCTGTTACAATATGTCTGCCCGAAGGCTCTTATTCTTTTTGGCGGGACCGGAAACTCACTATCGTGCCCTCTTGCGGTTGTACTCTTATGGCTATCGTGCCCTCTTGCGGTTTGCACTCTCAGGGCGGTTTATTCAACTTACAAATATAACAATAAGTATTACCAACAAATATAATAATAAGTATTTCAAGTGAGTATGGTAAACAATTCGATAAATGAAGAGCGAAGTCAATTAAATGATAATTAACTTTTCGTATGTAATACGGTGTTTCGTAAACGTTAATAGCTGGTAAATAGCCACGGGTCGAATCGCAATATTCGTTAAGATAATATTGACTATGCGTGAATATCCCAATCATGCGTGCATCGATAATGTAAGTTAAATTACTACACATCGAGA